AGGGATAGGCCATCTCCCTCCAATTCAATCTCTCATACTTAACCCTTTGTAGCTTCACTCTACTGAGAATCGAGGTGTGTGCAGGTGGAATATTAAAGCCAGACATTTGGTTGGGTTGCCTTGGGGGAGCGAGGATGCAGAAACGGGGCTCAATGCATATCTGGAAGCCCTCAGCACTTACAGGCTGAGCAGAGAGGAGGAGCGTGAGGCAGAGGTCCAGAGAGTGGGGTGTCTGGGAAGCCAGTAGGGGAGTGTTTCAAGGAGGAGGGTGTGGTAGTGCTGTGGGAGTTGTGGAGGTAGAACAGGTATGGCCCTCCCTGGCTAGTGTCACAGGACAGGGTGACCCATGGGGTACCTGGGGAGAACAGGAGCGAAGAGAGGGCTGTCATGACTGTCGGCATGGAAATAAGGATGTAGGGTTCGTTTTGAGACAGTTTGCTCTCTTTAAACTGTGCACAGCATATTGGAAGAAACTAATGGAAATAGAAGCCACATAGCCCTTTCCCCCTGCAGGTGAAATAAGGCAAGATTTGTGAGGCAGGGAAGCAGAGACCGACTAGCTTGTTAGTAAGCCCCTTGATGAAGACACACCCTGTCCACAGGCAGTGGACAAGGCCAGCTGGGATTGGATAGATGTAGAACTTTCTAGGGTTTTAGAACAATCACTTATACTAGGCACCATCAAGCTTACACTCATCACATCAAGGCCTTAGGTCACCCCTCTTTAAGGGACAGAAAGGGAGATAACACAGGGGAGTAAGTGGCCTTGGATGTGGCTCATGATGAAAGTGGACATTGAAATGAGAGCTTGAGTGTGAGGCAGGGGGAGTTTCCCTGCATCCTGGTGTTACTCTGCCCCCCACTTCTTCACCATTATCACTCATCAGTGAGAGAGTCCTGCTTGTTCTGGCTGAGGGGGGGGTCCCTGACCTTTCCCTCTTCCACCCCCTCCTTACTTTTCCTCACCTGGAGCTGTCAGAGCAGCCACCTCCCTTGCTCTCTGAGGCCCTTTCATCCCCACCACCTGCTGTCCTTGGTCACTTGTCAAACCTCAACCCTGCTCATGTGGCTGCTTTGCTGGAAAGACTGATGGCTTGCCCCAGTTCCCATATCAGTCTTGATAGAACTTTCTAGGGTTTTAGACCAATCGCTTACACCAGGCACCATCCTCATCACATCAAGGCCTTAGGTCACCCCCCTTCAAGGGACAGAAAGGAAGGCAGAGACTCCCTGTGTAAGTTCCAAGTACACGGAATGACACTATTTCTGAAGCTGCAGCCTAGTTCATAAAGTTTCCAAACTCTGAAAATATTTTGTTTCCTATCTTTTAGGTTAACAGCACTAGGCTGAAATTTAACATTTGATTGCATTAAATAACAACAAGCTTAGACATGGGCAGAACATAGTTAGCTGTTTCCCTGAAATTTTCCAGATTTGTCTCCATTCCTTTGAATCTCTCTTTCGGTGTTCCTGCTTTGCTGGTGCCCGAAGGAAATGCTGCATGTTATCATGTGGTGTTTGAGCCCTGACCTCAACACGTATCTGGCTGTTTTTGTTCAGAAGTGTGCCTCTGGCTGGGAAATATGTCCTCTGTACCCTTTACTTAGCTCTATTTATCCTTCCAGGTTCTGCTCACCTGTAACTTCCTTCATAAAACTTCCCTGATTCCCCCAGCAGAATTGGGGCTCAGCCCTCAATGTGAACCTTTGTGACAGCATGACCCACTGTTCCAATCAGTTGTCTATGTGTCAGGCTTCCCTGCTTCACTCTATGTTCTATCCTTAAGTGCTCTTGGTGTTTATTAGATCTCCACTTCACAAAGGGGTAACTGGAATGCCTATCACCCTCCTCACTCATGCTATCGTTAAGATCTCACGTGACAAATGAAATAAGTAATAAAACATGGACATACCTCTGTGTCCATCAGAAGATGAATAGATAAGCCAATGTGGTTTATTATATACCTGCAGTAGAATATTATTCAGCCACGAAAAGGACATTCTGGCATCTATTACCATGTGGATTAATCTAGAGGACATCATGTGAGATGAAATTAACCAGCCACAAAAACACAAATACTGACTGATTCCTCTTCTACAAAGTACTTAGAGGACTCAAATTCATTGAGACAGAAAATAGAATGATGGTTGATGGCGGGGAAGCAGGGGCTGGATAGGAAGTTATTGTGTAATTGATACGGAATTTCACTTTCACAAGAAGATATGTTCTAAAGCTGCACAGTAGTGATTGGCACCCAAGATCATGATGTATTTAATGACCATTGAACTGTGTTAGAATGGTAAATGTGATGTTTTTTCTTACCACAATTAAATGGGGAGGAGTCTTTTATGTGACTACAAAATTAATTTACAGGACTTGGAACTATATAACTGATGGCATTATAGGTTTTTACACTTTACTCTTTGGTGATTAGTGTCTCTGTTTATATTTTCTTCCTTCCTGCTAATAGCAGAGGGAATTTATTATTCTTTTGTGGTGATTGGGATCAAGCCCTGGAAGGCTACTCTGCTCGGGCACAGCACAGAAGGGGAGCAGAGTTCCCCTGAAAGGCTTGGGAAATCGCTGTCCCCTGAGCAGATGCTGGGCTCTGGCTTTGGGGGCTGAAGCCTTCCCTCCTGCTGTGCCACTTTCTCCTCTTTCATCTTCATTTTTCTTGCTCTCACTATTCTCCATGGACCTTTAGTAGAGTTTATCCCCTCTTCTCCCAGGAAGGAAAAAAAAATTGCAGGATATGAGCGTGTGATGGTGATGGTGGTACAGAGAACAAATAGCTTTTACGTTCATTATAGAAGCAAAGAGCATTGCGCCTAACACATAATCTTTGACGGTTCAAACAGCAGGGTCTGTAGCAAGTAAATAAATACAGTTTTCTCTCTCTGCTTTGTGTCTGCTTTGCTGTCAGGAATTTGTCACCTTCTTTAGGCTCCCAGCCCAGTTCTTGCTTCTTCTTCCTGATGATTGGGAGTTTTCACAAGTTATGTCAGGAGCTTTTTGTTAGTTGTCAGTGATGATATATAGCTCAGCCCTGGCCTTAAGTCTCAGCTCATATTCATTGTCTTACTAACTATAAGATTTTGTGGTTAATTCTCAGTGCAAGGGTGCAGGCTTGTGGTCATTGTATTGTGTACATTGTATATTACATTGTATATATTCACATTTTATACAGCCTCTTATTTCTCTTCTGTTTTTTTTTTAAGATTTATTTATTTATGCATACAGTACTGGGTGGGGTACAGGCCAGAGGTGCAAGGGCAGTGACAGGATTCACCAAAGACAGAGTGGGGAGCAGAACAGGCAGATGGGGAAGTACACTGCTGAGGGGAGCAGCGGGCGAGACAGGAGAGGTCTGCGGCGCCATGTGGTCACTTCTGGGCAAGGGATTGAACTTGCACCTAAGCACCCATGGCCAGCTTCACAGTGCTGCTCTTTAACCCACTGCGCACCAGGGAGGGTCCCAGCCTCTTATTTCTTAACATTTTCCTCTATAATTTTATACGAGTGACTAGCATCCAGTTTACCAGGATTCCTTCTCTGTCCCTATAAAAAAGAAAAACTAGGGCCCTCCCTGGTGGTGGAATGGGTTAAAGCACAGCACTAAGAAGCTAAAGCCAATTCAGCATGAGTTCGATCCCTGCCCGCCCCGGAGGTGACCCACATGGCGTGGCAGACCTCTCCTGACCTGCCTGCTGCTCCCCTCAGCATTGTTCTTCGTCAGTTGGCCTGTTCTGCTCCCCACTCTGTCTCTGGTGAATCCTCTCACCGGCCCTGCATCTCTGGCCTGTTCTCAGGTTCTGTATGCATAAATAAATAAATCATAAAAAAAAATAACCTGTATTTCACACTTATTCAAAGGTAGATCATCCAAAAAATAGAAAAATATTACAGTAAGTAATAATTGTACTTATGAGTCATAACAGTCATGGTATTTTATTGTATACTAGGTATACAGTAATTACAACAATATCATTACCACAGCACATACAGTAATTAATAGCAACTGGGAACAGCAATTGCAACGGAATCATATTTCTGCAAAATTAGGCAGTTTAATAAAGTGTTATTATTTGGCTTTGTAGCCAGACTCCTCTGCTGTTCATCCTACAGTTACTGCTCAACCTGTGAGCCTAATCTGCCCAAGGAACTAATCTGCCCGAGTGTTTCCGGAAGCCGCTAAGCCTGGGCAATCAAGAGGCGGGAAACAAGTCTAGTGCTTTCAGAAAAATACAGCTTTTATTCCACACACTTGCCCCACCCCACCCCCCAAAGAAAGAAAAACACACAAGACAAAAAGCTAGCACGTTGCAATAATATTCAAGTCTTGTGGTAACCATTTTTACTCCTGTTCTGTTTCCCCATGGCTCTCTGGGCTCACAGGTGCCAGGTGTCAGCCCACCGGCCAGAGCAGCACTGGGTCCCAGGGGCAGCTTGGGGGGTGGACGGGAGTTGGCCGATCTCTGCGGCGTTGGGCGGGTCCCATTCTCACAGCTGCATCTGTGCTGAGTGTGGCCTCTCCTGCCTGCAGTGACACTTGGGCTAGGACCTCACACAAGTCCAAGCCAGGAAACTGCTAGCCTCGTGGGCAGGCAGCTGTGGGTGGGTAGTTTCATCTCTAGTTACATCTCTATTTTCATGAATTTTCAGGCTGCAGTTTTGCATTTTCTTTCATTTATTTGTGCAGAACATGGCCCTGCAGCTTCCTTCCCCTGCTGCCCTGCAGGTCCAGATTTGCCTGTAAACGCAGAGTTATATTCTGCCTCCATGAAAATATACTTGAGAATGACTTTTAGATGTAGAATTGCTATGCCACGTGTACGTACTTTTGAGTGTTTGATTGATTCCACCAAGCTGATGTTCCAGAAAGGGGAGGGTACTGATTTGCACTCTAGGAGGTGTTTCCGTTCTTATTCTTAATTGCCAAGATTTCCTCTCTCCTTCCCGGAACCTAGGAAAGGGGATGACACTCTGCTCTCTGGTTTCAGAACAACGAGATGGGGGAGCTCCAGAGAATACGGATGAAAGATGAAATCCGAGAGTACAAGTTCCGAGAGGCCCGGCTGCTGCAGGACTACACAGAGCTGGAGGAGGAGAACATCACGTTGCAGAAGCTGGTGTCCACGTTAAAACAGAACCAGGTGTGTTCGCGGGGCAGGCTGGGGGTGGGGGGCATGTCTTCCCAACACGAGGCTTAAAATGTCTCTTTCCTTCTCAGAGGGAAACTGAAACTGACTTTCACCTCCCAACAGCGTTCCTGTGCTGAATTTCCCACCCCTACTATCCCAGCTGACATTCAGAAGGGAAACCTGGGCATAATGTAATTGGCCATCACACTTTATGAGATAAGAATTTTAGATCATGCTTTAGCTCTCTGTTTATTTTTCAGAAGCCCGAGGTATGGTAGTCTAATGAACTGGACAGCTCATTAGCCTGGGTCTGGGTCCCTAAGCTTGCTTTTGTGCCAGATTAAGGTCTCCAGTGACCACTCCCCCCTTCCTTTCCTGCCTACCTCTTTCCCTGTCACTTCTCCCTCCCCATCCTTCTATCTTACTCTCTCTCCCTTGGCCCTCACCTCCTCTTCTATCCTTACCCCTTTTTTTCTCTCCTTCACCTCCTTCCTTTCCTCCTCCACCAGTAATTTGCTCTCAAATAATTCAGGGAGAGGGATTATGACATACAAATCAATATGAACAAAATTATAGCAGAAGAACATGCCTGACTGATTTTTTTCAGCTGTCACCTGCCTAAAGAGATTGCATGTGTACATTAAATGTGTGTGTGTGTGTGTGTGAGAGAGAGAGAGAGAGAGAGAGAGAGATGGGGGGGTGTTATATAATAGCTTAATTACTTAATTTTCCTGATTGGGTTGCACTGTGGTTTATTATAGTTATGGGTAATGGCATTCTTGAATCTGCTGTTTTAGAAGAGTTCGCTTATGAATACATTCATCGAGTAGCTGAGCCAAGGTGAGCTCAGCGTTCGAGGTCCTTTCAAGGTGCATCCTCATTCACAAGCTGGATTCTGGTAGACACTCTACAGCCTCTCGGGCAGTGAATTAGCTGCCTGCAGGCCTTGAGGGGAGTGGGAGAGGCTCAGGGCTCCCCACAGTCCCTGGACACAGAGGCCAGCCCAGCTGCTTCCTCCTTCCACTCTTCTCCAGTTCAGTCTGTACCTGGAACCATCATCCCCTTTGCTAGACATGGGCTCAGCGAGGGAAGACAGTCCAGCTACTGACAAATCGCTGTTTGATTTCTGACCACTGCCCTCCCTGCAGTTCCATACCGGGAAGGACAGGCGCTGGCTGCCTGCCTCTCTACTGCTCCCTGCTGAGCTGGCTCCATACCTGCCAGACATCCAGGTCTGCAGGTGCCAGGTCACTGGGCTCACCGTGGAGTACAATGGAAGAGTTTCTTAGGTATGTGCAGTAAAACTCACTGAAATTTGGTGGTCGTCCATTTGCTGATAGAGAACGGGGCAGACTCAAAGTGACCAACTTGGAGCACAGATCCGCGGCGGCAGCCCTCCTCCTGAGGCCTGCTCTGCGGCCCCACCCTGTGTGTGGCAGCCTGCCTCTCCCTGGAGGCCAGCCATGGCTGGTGCTGGGTCCCCAGAGCTACCGGGGACCATGGGGCTAGTCACGGAGTGGATGGGCTTGCTGGCGGGCTGTGTTCTTGGGCTTCACCCTGCCTCCTGCTCTCACTGAAACTCAAGAATTTAATGCTTTAGTAGAAGCTTGAAAAAAACAAAGGTGAGCCTCCTTATCACAAGCTAGACCCTGGTGCAGACACTTTATGGCTTCTCAGTGGAGTAGCTCTTTGACTTACTTCCTAGGTGCAGTAAGGTAGTTCTGCCAGTCATGTTTCCGGCTGTGTCCTCGCACTTGGGCACCCTGTGGCCACCCAGACCAGGACACCCTGGCTTTCCCTTTCCCAACTGTTGGCTTCCACTTACAGGACTTTACATCTGTTGGAAGTTCTTCTAGGTAAAGAAGTGAAGGGTAATACTTCAAATACAAATTCCCTGGGATAGTGATGACGAGGCTGGCCCAAAGGCCCCAGATGGGCTGAATGTGGCTTGTCTTGCATTCTCCTGGGCTCCCATTCCTCTGTCAGCTGGTGTTCACTAAACAGCCCTGCAGAACTCTCGGTTCAGAGAATTAGGAGAGTCTTTCTGAGGTTCCACTTTCTCTTCACCATTTATTATTTTTTATTGTTGTATAATACTTACTTACTCCTTGTATAATTTCTACATGTTGTTTCTTTCGTGTGGCACAAAACAGGGCCTGGTCCATAAAAGGTATTAAATAAATACTTGGAAGAATGAATAAATATCCTCTTTTTCTCCCTGTTTCTTTAAAGTCACACTTTGACTCAGTGAGGAAACTGAAATGAGTTGCCTCAGTTAACCCGGGTTTGTTTTGTGTGTGTGAGTGTGTGTGTGAGTGTGTGTACAACTGGGATGGGGAGGGGGGTTGAGAGGATTCGCCAGAGACAGAGTGGGGAGCAGAACAGGTGGATTGACAGAAATCCACTGCTGAGGGGAGCAGTGGGTGGGACAGGAGAGGTCTGCTGTGCCATGTGGGTCAGCTCCCTGGCGGGGAATTGAATTCAGGGCTTAGCAGTGACAGCCTGAATGAGAGAATTAACCCCTAGGCCATCAGGGAGGCCCCCAGTGCGCTAACTTTTTAGATGACCAGGTCCACTGGAGCGTCCCGTGGCAGTTTTCTAAGACCCACGTTTTAGTTTTTCGCGTCTTCTCTCTCCTGTCTAATACAGGTGGAATATGAAGGCCTGAAGCACGAGATCAAGCGCTTCGAGGAGGAGACGGCGTTGCTCAACAGCCAGCTGGAAGACGCGCTGCGGCTGAAGGAGATTGCGGAGCACCAGCTGGAGGAGGCCCTGGAGACGCTGAAGAACGAGCGGGAGCAGAAGAACAGCCTGCGCAAGGAGCTGTCGCAGTACATCACGCTCAGCGACAGCCACCTGGGGCTCTCGGTGGACGGGCTCAAGTTCCCCGAGGATGGCGCCGAGCCCAACAACGACGACAAGATGAACGGGCACTTGCACGCGCCCCTGGTGAAGCTGGGCGGGGACTTCCGTGCGCCCCCGCTGCGGCGTGGCGAGGCCTTGCACCCGGCCTCGGACCTCTTCAGCGAGCTCAACATCTCGGAAATCCAGAAGCTGAAGCAGCAGCTCATGCAGGTAAGGACCCCTGGGAGGCGAGGGTGGGATTTAC